AAAAATACTGATTAATTATTAAAAAAAAAAAAAAAAAAAGTGCTGTTAAGTTGCTGGTAGGTGATCCACGAGATGTCTCCAAATGCAAAGGGTTAATTAACCTATTGGCATTTAAGAACTTGTTCTTACTAAGAGGTATTAAAAACAGCAAGAAAATTAATTGACAGCAGGTCACAACAAGATATATAAAGCAGGGGTCCCCAACCCCCAGGCCACAGACAAGTACAGGTCTGTGGTTTGGGAGGAACTGGGTCACATAGCAGGAGGTAAGTAGTGGGCAAGAGAGTGATGCTTCATTTGTATTTATAGTAGTTCCCCATGGTTCACATTACCACCTGAACTCCATCAATTGTCAGTGGCGGCATTAGATTCTCATATACTATAATGTAATAATACTAGAAATAAAGTACACAATAAATACAATGTGCCTGAATCACCCTGAAACCATCCCCCTACCCTGGTTCAAGGAAAAATTGTCAAAAAAGTTTGGTGATTGCTGATTGCAGAGGTCCTCCAACTTTTTTTTTGAAAAACAATATCCTTCCGCTTAGTTACAAACATAAAACTTTCCTTAAGAGGTCATCACAGGGATGTTTCATCAGTATTATATCTAAATAATTATTTTTGAGTATGACAATACACAGAACTCATCCTGGAAACAGTCAGAAGCCACACTTATGGCGACTATAACATGATTACCCTACACTGTGCAAATTGTGATGTACATTTAGTAATTCTAACAAAAAAATCCAAGTGTAATGACTGGCAACAAGTCCTCATTCTTATCAAGTATCCTGCTAGAAGACTGGGAAACTCAGACAAGGGAAAGGAGTACACCAGACGTTTCATTTCCTGTGTCTGACTTACTTGGAAATGAGCCTGCTGCCCCAACACCTCTTGATGCAACATGGGGAACAGGAGTATGTGACCAGGGAAAGACTCATGGAGTTTTAACTCTGCTCCTAGTAACTAGTGTGATTCCTGCAGGTCTCTTGCCTAGGTCTCAGCTTTTCATGAATGAAAACAAAAGAACATCCTTTCCAAATAATAGGAACCATACACATTTAACCTTTTGTACCTAATCTTCATTATTTTGACATTTTCTGAATGGTTATTTGAAAGGGCTACTGGAAGGCAGGGATAAGAACACAGGTTTTGAAGTCAGACAGATTGGGTTTGTTTCCCCCTCAGGACTAGCTGAGTGGCTTTCAGCAAGTTACCTAACTGCCTGTACGTCTGTTTCCTCCATAACATGGGAATCATGCCGCCATCTTTGTAATGTTGTTCTGACAATTAGCCAGTACATCAAGTGCCTAGTATGTACGTGCTAGAAAAGTGCTAGCCCCTAAAATGATGCTTTATAAATCTAGGCCATAACAGCCACCAGACCTGCTGAGATACACCATATGTGAGTATAAATAATCGTTTCTAGCTAAGTGAATAACATGATAGAAGTGATGCTCTCACCATTGCATTTTTCTTTGCTGCTTGTCTTTTCAGTCGTCTTCCTTCCCGTCGACTGTCTTTCTTTAAAATCACTGCAATTTCTTCCCTTACTTCCTGACTGTCTGTTGCTATAATCTCCCTATGGTGAGCCATCTGTGAGTTCTGTCTCAGGTATTCCATGAAACCATTCACATCTTCATTTAAGTACTCTTTTTTCTTTTTGTTCTTTTTATGTTTTGCTTGGGGTGCCGCATTTTTAAGGGAGAGTCGACTGGCTTCAGGCTGTTTACACTGGCTTGTTCCCTCACAGGACCCCTTCTTCATGTCCTCCCATGATGTTGCAGGTAAGGGTCTTTTGCTATGTGTGGTAGTGACTCGTGCCCACCTGGTCATGGTTTTATCAGAGGGGCTGCATCAGTCCTTAAAACAAGCACAGTTGGTTAGTCATCATAAAAAAAAACAACACTAAAGATACATGCCATGTCACTGTATCTCCCATATGTTAAACTTTTAAATATTAAAATACTATTTACTTCATTTAGGTATCTGTATACATATTTAATTTTATAATATGCTGCATAGATATGCCTGTTATAAATCTACGACTTACTAGAGAAACTACCACACCAGTTAAAAATAAGAGTATATATAAATACTTGCTTAAAATTGGAAAATAATTGTTAAGAAACCAAATTATTTCATAAAACATAAAATCCCATAGTAATACAGTGAATGAAGTTATTCCTTCAATGCTTTAGTTTTCCTGGCTATTTTATCATCTGTAAGTTCCAGGGCTACTTTCCCCCAATCTTCTTGATAAGTCTGCATTTCAGTGTGACAATCTGCATAGCAGATTGGTACATTCACAAGATCTTGTCCTTTAGCATAAGGCTTGTTGCTCTACCTATTCCTGGCAGAGTTATGGGTAAAAAAATACAAAAGCGTTTGCAGTCATGGGATGACACTGGGTCTGCTTCTCCTACTGCTCTAGTTAGTGATTTCAAATCATCTTCAAATCCATTTAAAATTATGGTTTAAATCATAAGATACATTTCATACAGAAAATTATATCTTGTTTTTATACCCTTAACACATATTCCTTAATATTCAGAAATAGGTCTCATTTTAGAGTACATACACATTTTAAAGAGGTAATTTATCCTAAGACAAATTATCTGCCCCAACATAAAATGAAACAATGGTTTGGTTACTTTACATACTACCTAGTAATTTGGAGGATTTTTTTTTCCTGCAATGAGTGAGAACAGCAGCCATAATGAAAGATTAATCACTACAATCATAATGCTTAGGTCATAGCAGACCACATATACCATAGTAGTCCCTTATGTTCACAATGGAGGTGAAAAACTCCTATTGCCTCATGACTCTGCTGCTGAAATAATGTCATAGTGTAAAGAATTACTCAGTAGGTGTAAACACACCTACCGCACTGCCAGTCATACAAAAGTGTAGTACTTATAATTCTGAACAGTACATAAAACTTGATAATGTCAATAAATGACTATTAGCAGTCTATGTATTTACAATGCTTTTTATCATTATTTTAGAGTGTACTCTTCTACTTATAAAAAAAGTTAATTGTAAACAGCCTCCGGCAGTTATCTCAGGAAGTATTCCAGAAGAAGGCATTGTTAAAAGTTTAAGAAGGTAAAAAAAAATTGAAAAATGTACAAATAGAAAAAAAGCTTATAGAATAAGGATATAAGAAAAAATTTTTTATACAGCTGTATAATGTGTTTGTGTTTTAAGCTAAGTGCTATAAGAGTCAAAATTTAAAACTTTTTTGTTTATAAAATAAAAAATTAACAGTAAGCTTCGATTTACTATTGAAGAAAAAAAATGTCTTATAACATTAGTGTAGCCTAAGTATACAGTGTCCATAGATTATACAGATTTTTCAGGTCAGCCTGAGCTTCCAGAGTGTCAGCTCAATGGGTCAGCTAGACAAGCCCCAGAGAGTGGTCAGCTCAATGAGCTGGCAAGCCTAGCCCTAGGAGTGTTGGCTCTAATGGACTGGCAAGCGAAGCCCTGAGAGTGTTGCTGATTTGGCGGACCCAAAAGTGTCTCAGCTTCAGAGTCTCTCCTACTGCTGGCAGCTTTTCTGGTTCAGCCAGCTCTGTCAGCTGGCAAGCCAGTCTCTGAAGTGCCTGGCTCCTCAGCTCTGATGATCTTCTGCAGCTCTTCAGGTCAGGGTTCTTGTCTCACATCCAAGAGGAATGAGGGACACTCTGGCTGGATGTTGAGAAAGCAGGATTTATTGAGGACAGAAACGCTTCCAGAGCAGGAGGGAACTGAGGGTTGCCAGTCTAGGGCGGAAAACAGGTCCTTATATAATCCCAAGATTGAGGTGATTGGTTAGCATTAGCTGTGAGCTGACAGGTTGTTTTCCAATCTCAGCAGCAGAAAGTCTGTTACTTTGTCATGGGGACTGCTCAGTCTTTCTGCTTAGTTGTTTACTTTGTTACCAGGGCGGCCCTGTCTGTCGGCCTGCCTGCCTAGTTTTTCTCTAGCTATCTCATCTCTCATAGAGACCACAGTGGTGAACAGTGATGTCCTAGGTCTTCACTTCCACAGACCATCACTCATGGACTTACACAGAGCAACATTCATCCTGCAGGGCTCCACTCATGGTCAGTCCCCTACACAGGTGTACTGCTTTTTACATTTTTTACTATACCTTCTCCTATGTTTGGAAGTGTTTAGACATAAAAACACCACTGTCTTACAGTTGCCCACAGTACTCACAGCTGTGCAGCGGTATAGCCTAGGGGCCATAGACCACAGCCCAGGTGTGTAAGGGCCACACCACACAGCCCAGGTTTGTACGGGCCACAACTCATAGCCCAGATGTGCAGAGGCTACAGCATCCAGCCCAAGTGTGCAGGTGCCACATCTCATAGGCCAGGTATATAGGGGCCACACATCTCAGCCCAAGTGTGTAGGGCCCATACCTCACAGCTCTGGTGTGTAGGAGCCACCATCCAGCCCAAGAATGTAGGGGCCACATGACCCAGTCCAGGTATGTAGGGGCCACATGACCCAGTCCAGGTGTGTAGGAGCCACACCACCCAGTCTAGGTGTGTAGGGGCCACAGCATCTAACCCAGGTGTGTGCAGGGGCCACACCATCTAGCCCAGATGATCTGGCCTAAGTGTACAGGGACCACACCATCTGACCTAGGTGCGTAAGGGCCACAGCTCACAGCCCAGGTGTATCACTCTGTGATATTCACACGACTTCTCTGGTCCATGTTGGAAACGCGGGCGCACTGAGCCCTCGGAGAACGGCCTCCCTCCCCTGTCGGTGCAGGGGGGTCCCCCGCGATCCCCCACATCCCGGGGGCCAAGCCGTCCGCAGGGCCTCTCCTGTCGGGCACGGCGGCCTTGCCGAGGCGACGAGACGCCCGGGTCCTGCGCTCGTGGGGCTGCCGCCAGCCCCATCCCTAGGCCTCCGCCCCACGCCCCCACGCTCCCCGTCAGGCCTGGGGACACCGACGGGGACCCCCCATAGCTCCGGGGCCCGGGACGTCGTCACACCGCGCGACTGCTTACCGTTCACAAGTCGTCCAGAGCTGCCGAGTTAGCAAGCCAGAGAAACCCGTCCCCGCCTCCGCCCCACGCCGGCCTCCAGACCGGAAGCACACGGCTCTGGGAGTGCGTCATTTCCGGCGCGCCCGTCGCGTGGCGGCGCCAGGGATGCGTTCTAGATTCCTTCCTGGCGGTGGGCGGGGCGCCAATATGTGCTGGGCTCGGCGGTCACGAGCAAGGAGCGTGCTCGCCCCGCGGGCCGTGACCTCGCTCGCGGGCGAGGCGGACAGGGGCGTCGGTGGGTGGGCATGCCGGAAGGCTTTGAGAAGATGACCTTTAACTTGGGCCAGGAATGCGGAAGCCGGAATGACGCTAGCATGGGCGGGAGAGCTCCGGTGTAGCTGGGGGTGTCCTGTGAGTCTGGAAGGGACGCCGAGGCCCGGCGCGGGCGCCGCGGAGTGCGAGATGGAGCCGAACCCGGACAGGCGGCGCCCCGCGTCCTCCCTGGTGCCGTCCAGCGACGCTTGAAACGTCACCGTTCGTAGCCAGAGGAAAACCGCAGGCGCCCGAACGACCCTCCTCCGCACAGACGCCGCCAGCCGCGCCCCGAAAGAGGGCACGTCCACACCCGCCGGATGCCCTGTGCCGCCGAGCGCTGGCCACGAAGCCTTTCACCTCCGCGGCTGCTTCCGCCCCGGCCCCGTCGCTACAGCTGCTCCGGGGCCCACCTTGCCGACCCCTCGACATTTTCGGGCAGCGGGAGCAGTGTCATCAGAGCCACTCCACTACTGCAGGCTCCATGGGCTCCCTCGCCTCTAGGCTGAAACCGGGGCTCCTAGGCACGCTGCTGAGCCCCTGCCTGCCTCACCAGACCCGCCTTGCACAGGCCCTTCCTCTTTGACCTCTACGCAGAAAGTCTCAGTTTCCCCAATGCCCGTGTCTCCTCTGTCTACGGCCCTTTCCACGTGCTCGTCTCTTTCCATGGCACTCCTTCCAATTCTTTGCACTCACCCTTCAAGGCTTTATTCCCAAGCGAGCCCTCAAAGGCCCTATCCCGCCATCCCCTACCAGTCCAGTCCCCCCTTGCGTGCTCATGGCAATCTGTACTTACTTATGGCGCTTCACAGTGTAATTACACAGTGAGTCATGTGACCAGTCGTTTATTGTGTCCCGTTGCCTGGTACATCGCTGTTGCTCTCTTCATATTTGCTAACTGACTAAAGCAAAAGACTTTGTAGTGTTTAAAGCAAACTAGGATGTGGCCCAAAAGTCATTGCGGTAGGGACGTTGGAATTTGGTAGGGTGAATATCACAAATACCCTAGGTCCTATGGTGGAGAAAGCTTAAAAGTTAAAAGAAAAAAAAAAGTCTTCCAACTCCTGAAGATAGGAGCTTCCTGAAGGATGGACGGTGCTGCTAACCCCAGTGGCCTCCACCAGCTGGCTTGGGCTCTAAACACCAATCAGGTGTCTTGAAGTTTTATCTTGCAGGTGCCAGGCACTTGCACATAATGTCTGCCACTAGAGGGCGCGTGCAACTAAAATTTGTCTTTAGTAACATTCATTCCCGGAAGTGGAGGAACGTCTCAATTCGTTTTTGTGCAAGTGTGTCAAAGATTAGTAGTTGAGTAAACAAGTCATAGAAGAAATTCTTTGGAAGTCAGAAGATAATACTACTATTATATTACTACCTGTAGTAAACTATTGGTAGTTTACTATCATCAATTTTACTAATAGTTTGCTGCTACTATTACTACCAGTAGTGAACTATTGCATTCATTATTCAGCTAATCCACCCAGTGTCCTGTGAGGCAGGTACTGTTATTTTCTCCATTTTTCAGTGAGGACACAAGTTCAGAGAGCTGAAATAACTTATCCAAGTTCACACAGCTATAAAGAGGTAAAGCCAGAATTTGAACCAAGATCTCAGTCCAAAAGCCTGTGTGCTCTACTGCCTTGAAGTACTTCAGAAGATTGTCTGTCTACTTGATCCACTTTGAAACATGCTTCCCTAAGTTACCATCGCTTATAGTGAGATTTTTAAAGACTGCATTTACAGTCCAAGGGACTATCTTTTTATTTTGAAATCCTGTAAATGTATTATTTTCATAACTATTATCAAGCAAGGTCAGTGTTAAGTGAGAAGCAAAGGTTTCCATGAAGGTTTCTATGAAGGGCTGGTACTTAATTTCTAAAAAATTATTAAGAGTATTATGTGTACTGAAAAGGATATAAAACGAAGTGATTATAAGACACATGTCCATGTAGGCATTACCTGATTCAAGAAACTAACCATTGCCAGATAATCTTTTAAATTATATTAATGTAATTTTTTCATTGAAAATATATTTTCATATTTCTTTTTTTTTTTTGAGTTGGAATCTCACTCTGTCGCCCAGACTGGAGCGCAGTGACATATTCCCGGCCACTGCAGCCAAGACCTGCTGGGATCCAGCATGCCTGCCTCAGCCTTCCAAGTACCCGGAACTACAGGTGTATGCTACCACGCCTGGCTAATTATTTATTTATTTATTTATTGTAGAGATGAGGTCTTGCCAAGTTGCTCGAACCCACGGGCTCAGGCAATCCACTTGCCTCGGACTCCTAAAGTGCCGGGATTACAGGTTGAGCCACTGAGCCCGGCCCATTTTTATATTATGAACAAAAATAGTTTGATGGTGTAAGTTTTCTACAAATCATCTCTCATGATAACTGTAAATTCTGGATAAAATTAAAAAACAGGATTCTGTTTGTGAAGATTCTGAAGACAAGATAAAGGACAATTGTGGAGAGGAATCAAGCAACAGTTGGCACATGGATGAGTATTCCTTGAAGTGGGGGCTTGGCTTAAAGGGGAGGCCACAGTCATAGAGTTGTGAAGCACAAATAGCTAAAGCTGATGGAAAGTTCACCACCATCTTTCTGACTAGAACCAGGGAAAGGATCCCACAGCAGCCAAACCTAGAGAGAAAGAAATTCTGGAGGGAAAACAGTCAAAGAATCCTGTGCTTTAAGTTCCACATGAGCATCAAGCTGGCCCCTGAAACACGTACACAAGACAAATTCAGAAGCTTAAAGAGATGAACTGAGGTTGAAATTGCCACTCACAAAACTTGAGACAAAGCCTGTGACACAAGTCTAAACTAGTTAATTGCCTGCTTTTTTTTTTTCCTTAAAGAATAAAACAGAACTCACGGTACTTACAAAAAAAAAATTGACAATGTCCGGGATAAAATCCCAAATGAGTTGATAAGCAAAGAACTAGAAAAATTTGAAATACTGTCAGGGAAAAAGATAACCAACAGATGGCAACGCTAAGATACCCAGATACTGGAATTATCAGATAGGGCCTTTAAGGGATCTGTTTTACTATGCTCAAGGAGGTAAATGAATGCTGTAAATTAATTAAGAGATAGGAAAAATGCTGTAAGTGAATTGAAAGATAGGCTATCTCAGTAGAGAAATAGAAAATATCAGAAAGAACCAACTAGGAATTTGAGAGCTAAAGTATATTGGAAATTAAAATGTACTAGATAGGCTTAATGAATGGAAATGGCAGAAAAAAGAATTGCTGGGTCAATAGTTATATGAATTTGTAATTTTGATAGGTAGTGGCCATTCTTCCTAGAGTTTATACCAGTTTATACACCCAGCAGCAGCGGTGCATGAGAATACTAGCATCTCATGCTTCCCCAAAGAATATATTGTTACACTTTGGGGTTGGTGCCAAAATGTCATATGTAAAATTGAAATTAGTACTCTGATATTGTTTGAAGCTTTGATTCCATTATGTTAAATGAAATTGAGCATCTTTTTATGTGTTTAGGAATCATTTGTATTTCCTTTTCTGCGAACCAATGGTTTACATCATTTGCCTATTCCCTATTGTTTTGATAGTTTTTTCTTATTGATTCTACAGCGCTGTATATATATGTTTATAATCAAATACTAATTATAAATATTAGATTAGGAATAGGAGGAATACAAGGCCCCTTCTGTACTTTAGGCCTAGCACTTAACCGTACTCTCTGTCTCCCCCGCTAGACTATAAGCACTAAAGCATCAGAATTATATGAATCCTCTGTGTCTTGTTTTTACTATTTATGTCTTGCTTATGTTACAGGATTGGTATATAGAAGACATTACAGTTTTAGTGAATGAACATGAGAATAAATAGAAGAAGAAAAGTAGATACTTTTATACTTGATAAATGTGTGAATATTAAATCAGAATGTTTCAAAACCAGTTGTCCAGTGTAGTATAAAACAGTAGCAACCACCAGGAAAAACAAAAACAAACAAAAGTGGATAGCTCATTCTCTCATTAATTCATAGCTTTCAAAGTAGTTTTGGCACATAAAGCTTATGCCATGACTTTGTCTTGCCTTTGGTATTGTCTAAAACAGAAGTTATTGCCATTTCTTGATGGGCACATCTGTGAACTGGGATCTGTGTCACCAGAATGTACCACATGTGGTACGGTTAGATGCTGAAGAGTTGAGAAGAAAGGATACAAAACATGGTATTAAAGAATACCCCAGAGTATGAATAAAGGAAGTTTATGCATCAATACTTCAGTTTTGTGTTTGCTTCAGAACAAAACACAGCTTTAGCTATACTTTGAATTTTAAAACACCAGTTAATGTTTATTTTCTTTTGTCCAGAAATTGTCAATGATAGCCTGTGGAAATGGAAGAACATTTTAAGAACCTTTGGATTAATCTTAATTTTAAGAACCTCTGGATTGATCTTAATTCTACAAACAGATTGAATACCCTATTGTAATATTAGTAATAATTTATATTGTCATGGGACCCTAAGGTTTGGGAAGTATTTTCACATAAAATATTCAATTAATTTTTTTATTTACTTCACAGATATTTTACCAACTGACTCTTAGGCACATTTTAAGGTGCCCTCCTTGATGTCTGTTTAAATTCTTAATCTACATGTAATACACATATTAATATGATAAATCAATCTTATCATGAAGTCTACTCATGAGCCAAATACTTGAGAGATGTTCTCTGCTCTCTCTAGTTTGGGGTAAAGACTGGTTCAGCTTAGGAGACATGCAAACTTGGTTGAACTGACTTGTGTGT